GGTATTGCGTGAAACAATTCCTGTTTTGCGCTATAATTGACACATTTACTAAAACAATGTCTTATTTGTGTTATAATTGACAAATGGTAGAACATGTTTGCAACAAAGTAGTTTATGGGTCACACAATACCTCCTCTGCGTGTGGTTTCACAAATAGGGCACAAACAGGGAATCTTGTTTCCTGTAGCCATCTTTATTATTCTATGATCAGAGCCATTACTTAATAAATACTTAAACTCATATATTTACAACGAAATTAAGAAATTATTAACAAATAACCATCCTTTTTGATAAACCACCCCAAAAAAACTATAACAACAAACATATGGGTAAAAAAAAATTTTTTTTTTTGAAAATACGATTTTTTTTTCGTTATTTATTATTTTTACAAAGGGGTGCTCTCTATTTGATTAGAGCATCAAAAAACTACAGGAAAAAATTTTTGTCGCAAGAAAAATTGGGTTTTCCGACTGTTTTAGGCATTTTAAATTATTAAGTTTATTTATTGCATTATAATAAATTTATATATGTATATACTTTAGTATGGTGATGCATCCATGAAATAGAAACATTGAAGTTAAAAGAATATCATTATTAATATTATTGTTACCATAGTTGTGCACTTTGTGTTTTATAAAGTTAAAGCTGTTACAATTAATATTATATTTACCACTTTGTGTCTTCTTTTACTTTATACTGTATACTGTGACTTAGCAGTAATAATTTGGGAATTGTGTTAAACACGTATACGTCATTAGATGGGCATTGTGTACGTCAAAGTATAGGAATTGAGTACTGATTACTAAACAGTCGTTGACCCAGTCGGACACACAATTCTTAGGTATATCCCTTGATGTGTTGTGTCACGGTGCTTCAGTTTCGAAACGTATTTGTCATACAGCAGTCGTCGTTTCGAAACAAGTGTGTGCAAATTGACACTAGCTATGTCACAACTTCGGAAGTTTTCCCCAAATGCGACAAAAAAATGCTCACTGGATTGGTCATATTCTGTCACCTAAAATAGATGATAACATTTTCATTGATGTTATTTTTTTACTTTGTTTCTTTTTTTAAATAGACCGAATTTGTAAAAACATGGGCAGTATATTCAAGAAGCACAAAAAAAGTTATATACATATGTATATTATATCATATATATTATAATATATGTATGTGGGATAAAATTTAATAATGGTATAAATTGGTTTATGCACGATGACATTATAATATGACAATTATAACAAAAATTCTTTGACGTAAACGTCTTTTTATAGCCCGCGGGCGTTATTATGACCCAGCGGGCTATAATGAAACGTCAAAAATTAAAAACAACAATTTTACACCATTTGATATATTCGAAGTAAGTTTTTTCGTATAAAGATTTTGATTTTTCCGGCAGCAGGCCGCAATTTTTCGCCTTTTCAGCTGCTTCCTCAATTTCATTCATCTTTAAACTTTAAAACTGACTGATGTCAGTTGACATTATAATATGACAATTATAACAAAAATTCTTTGACATAAACGTCTTTAAAAACAATAATATATTAAAAATAATAATATATTAATCGTGCATAAAGTTTTGTATTATGGTCCTACGACGCTTTTCTAGCCCTCGCGCTAACGCGCTCGGGCTCGAAATAGCGCCTCGGACCATAAAACCCTTATTATGCCCTTAATACATAAATAACTATTAATAATAATAAATTAAAAAAACTTCATTTTCTAATAAAAGATGAAATCCAAGAGGGCTGTACTTACATTTGATTAGCAACAATTTTATTATTATTATTAGACGGACCGTCGTTATTTTTTATAGGGGCCGTTGTTCTTAGTAAAGGGACCGTCGCGACGTAACGACGCGTCGTACTATAAAAAGAATAATAACATAATAATTTATAATTTAGAAAGGTAAACAAATTAAATGGAAGTTATTTATTAAACAAATATCTCGTTTACAAGAAAAAAAATTATAAATCTAGATTATCATAAATGAAATCATTTTCTTTGATTACAAAATTTCTTTTGGAAAACGGGTGAGGAGGTGAGCATTTGCATATTTTTTTAAATATGTAACAACGTTCCCTATGTTAGCAACAACGGTCCCTTTTTATGAGGACCTTCGTTACAGGGGACCGTCGCACTATGGTCAAAAAATGCCGTTTGGCGGAAAAAATTCAATAACTTTTTTAATACAAATAAATATTTTTTTTTCTTTTATAATGTCTTAAATAGGATAAAATACGCATGTTTTTACATCAAAAAGAAAAACTTAAGGCTTTTATTTTTTATCCCATTTTTATATTGTAAAAACACACCGTTTTGCGGAAATAATTTTATAACTTTTTATAAGGACACAATATTTATTTTATTCTATTAACCTGTATGATTTATTTGATAAAATAAATCCAAAAAAAAAGAAACTTAATTTTTTAACGTGGGTTTTATAACTTTTTGGCGGAAATAATTTTATTTTTTATTACCATAATATTATAAATATAAATATATTATAACAATATGTTATATTGTAAAAACACTTTTAGTTGTTTTAATTATTAAAAAATACAAAAAAATTATATTAACAATTCCTTAACAGCATCAGATGATATTAAAAGTCGGTGTAAAATATCTTCATTTGTTGCCGTCCTGTTTGTTTTTCTTAAAAACATGTACCTACATTTTTTGAAATCTTTATTTTGGGATTCTTGTGCCTCCTCTGAAAGGACCCCGATTGGTAAAGATATATTTTCCATCACCTCCTTTCCATAACTAAAATATTATGAACAGTTTGAACAACTTTGTTGTTTGCTGAGCAAACATTCCCAACTTATTTGGATCTATCAAGCTTTGTGTAGTGATAGCTTGCAGCAGAGGCGTAGCTAGGAAACTAAAGGCCCTGGTACAAAAAAAACTGGGGCCCTAATTAACTAAACTGTTTGAGTTCTATCAAGTTAAAATATAAATATATTTAAATACTTTAAAGGTACAAAGCTACTAGTTTATCATCAGCTCTTTATCGTGCACTACTTGGCACAGCAAAACTACTTACGACTTACTACTGCATAAGTGGCTTGTGTGAGCTTTAGTGATCGCTTAGGTTCTACAGGTGAAGAGTTTAGGAACGTATACTTGGATTAATAATATTGGTATTAAGCAATAAAATGTTTATGTATGTAAAACACTTTATTTTACATAAAACATTAAATTTGCGTTGAATTATGGATAATACAAAATTAATAATAAAGGTTTTATTTGATGAAGACGATGAAGTTGATAAAATAACTTCACTTTAACATGTTTTGTTTAATTTTATTGTAAAAAGTGTTTTTCTAGCTCTGAAAAACAATGTTATACGAATTTTATTTATTATATTAAGTTTATAGTCAATTTACAAAATTTAATTATTATTATGGAAATTTAAGTATGTAACAAATCATTTTTTTTGGAAAAAATAATAATTTTATGAAAAGCAATTTTATTCGAATTATATTTATTATATTAAGCTAATTTACAAAATTTAATTATTTTTATGGAAATTTAAGTTTTATTGCAAAAAATCACCTAAATAAGATTAGGTTATGTTATTTAAAAACTTAACAAGTCTTTACCCCCTCCACTTTATTTCCGACTTAATTCAAACTGATTCCCCCGCACAGCATGTGCAGTATCGTTGAGGGGGGAGGAAAAATCTCAGCTCACTTTATGGTGAGTGAAGCAAAAAGAACGCGCACATTTGCAAATTTTACCAATGTGAGCTGAGATTAACTTATATCTCAGGCGAAAAGAACGCACCTAATGCCTTAGTTAGTTACGAGCTACCGCGATTTAACCATGCAGCGCGATAAATGAAGAATCATAATTTTTCCATATGCACGTATATGCAGCTAATTTTGTGTGCATATAAAGTAAAGTTTACTGAACAACCCCAGGTAGAGATCACCCGGTGAATCCGAAGTTAATCCTAGTTAAATGCCTATATGAATTTTGTTTTTCTTAATTTTATAAATTATTTTTTAAAAGGTTATAACTTTTAATTTTTAAATAATTTTTTAATAAAATGGGAATTTTTATATAGATTAAGGTGTGCTTTAGACATATACCTATAAAAAATAAATATACATTTTTTTGTCCGATAAAAAAATATTGTTTATTAAATGTGTGCGTAATTTTTAGCCAATTTTACTGTTTTAAAACATTCTACTTTAAGGTATCATAAAATCAAAACCGAATTATTCAAAAAAAATTTGTTACCGAAATCTAATGGTTTGGGATGTTTTTAACAAATTGTCGTCATAAAAGTTCCATAGATTCCATGGGAGATATGATATTATTTTTTTTATTAAGACGAGTATATGATTTAGTAAATAAGTCTTATAACGTAAGTTATATATTTTGCAAAGATCAATTAAGGAAATCTACATACATATGTATATGGATTGTATGTCAAAAAATGCGGCGGGAGACATCTTTCATTACTGAATTTTATCCCACGTATACTTTAAACTAGGGCTTCTAGGATGCGTATTATTATATTTTTAACATTTGAAGTACCTTCATTAGCTACTTAATATTCTTATCATGGGAACTTTCAATAAAATTAATTTTTATTATCAAACGATAAGCGATAAAGTGAAGCTAAAATTATGTATTTAATAGTTTTGCCAGTGATTCTTGCTAAAATATGACGTATTTGTGATTTTGTTGTTTATATTAGGAGAACGTTAAAAGACCATAGGAGGGAAAAATCATGTATTTTGATTTTAATTTAACAAATAGGTAACTTTATTATTTATAAATATAATTTTGCAACTTGGTGCATTTTTCCTTTAGCTGTAGTTGAAGTTTGTTTATTCCATTACATAATTTATAACATTTACTTATTCTGTTTAAATAGTGATATGAAAACTAAATGTATTACCATATATATTATTAACAATTGCATTACACTGCGCCTTATTTCGTTTTGCCTATTTTTATAATAATCTTTGTTTTTATATTTTCAGCGGGGAAAAAGTTTTGCCTAAAAAGAAGTCTACAAACGTAAATCGTTCTGAAAGTGTGAAAGAGCAGTCAGAGAAGGTATGGTAAAAATATAAAAAAACTTTACATAAATTTTAAATGCATTTTTTATTTTAGCGAAAGCAAAGACGGAATATCAGCGATCCATTGCATAATACAACAGGGTAAGTCGTAAATTTTATAGCAAAAAACATTATTTAAACAGTGCACGACATATCGTAAAATATCATTGGTATTAATGTAATGTACTGCTTATCAATTTAAATTGTTTAAAAAGTGTATTTTATGTTACCACTTTAATCAACATGTTGGCTGTAAATTTTAATTGTTATAGCTTTTGCATAATAATTACCATGGTTAAATACGGTGTCAAACAACCAAGAATATGGGCGGATTAAAAATGAAATTTGCAATGTGTGTGCAAATTTTACGCCCAAATTGGTTTAAAATGCAAATACGATTTCATGATAAATTTAAAAATACCTACCAGTATAATGTCGAATGTGATCATATCAGGAAATTTGTCTCGAAAGGATTTAGTACAAAATACCAGGAAGGGATTTATTCCATTACAAGGAACATTTATGGCCGTAGGCACAATCCTTGATGAAATTAAATTAACTGATATCATTTTTGGCCATTTTTGAAAAACAGTATAATTACTAAAAACTATGTAAATATACTCTATTCGTTTATTTTGTGCGTATGACCTAAAATATATTGACGTTTTTTTATTGTAATTATAGCCAAAGTTTACAGCAAGTTTTTTTCCTAAATTATAATTTAGGGTTCATAAAGACATTAATTACTACTCGCCCTCATTATTCTTAATTTAGAAATGGGGTTTCTTAAAGTTTTAATTTTTTTTTAAATGATTTAGTGTGAAATATAAAAATTACCCCTTGTACATATTTCACCCTTGTTTTAAAGCCACTGTAACAATGTAATTATAACACAGTACGACAAAATTTGATTTTTGGTCCCTCCCATGAAAAATTTCTACAGATTCTAAAAATAGAGTTAAAAAAATGATACCCGTGTCTCGGCGTTTTTTCACATCACGTCATAATTTTTTTTTAAGGGCTATCCAATAAAATGTTATTCACACTATTCGCGACATAATTTAATAGACTCGATAACAGCTGGACTGTATAGTTAAATATATATATATTTACTAAATGGATAGGCAACCATTATAGATGCATTTTAAAATTATTTTAATCTTATACAGAGTTTTGCACATTTATATATCGCACATGGGCGACAACAGTGTCATAAGTAGTAAAACCATAATTCCGCTATAAGTTAACGTAAAAGATTTTTAAATAATAAAATTCTGACATTTTTGTAAAATTATATTTACTTACACTGTAAGTTAATATAATTTTACAAAAATATCAGAATTTTTTTATTCAAAAATCTTTTACGTTAACTTATATCGGAATTATGGTTTTACTACTTATGACACTGTTGTCGCCCATGTGCGATATATATCAAACGGTTTATTTTTAAACCAAGTAACAAAATGTTTCAATTTTAAGCCAATCAAAATGCTTTAAAGTCGGGTGATTACAATTTTTATTTATTCAATTTTTTGTAAAAATTGAGCTTTGTTGAATTAACATTTAAAAAAAAATTAAAACATATTTAAATGAATTGATTTAACCCTTTAGGACCTTTTGGTCACATTTGTGTACGCTCCGTTTGATATTTTTTTTTAAATACATTTTTACTGAAAAGACGTCCTATGACCCGTTGTACACGTTTGTGTACAATATTTTTAAATTTTTGTGGAGCCATCTATACCATATCTATCAAAGCTGGTAGAGAAATCATTCATTTAAATTCAAATTCCAAGATGGAAGGCCAACTGCCGGGTAAGGGATACAATTTTGTAATTATTATATGAAAATTGAAATCGAATAAATCTCCGTTTTTTTTTGCAATGAAATAATACCTTTGTTTACCATTTGAAGATATTTGCAATGTGTGTCAATGCATGTAACTCGGAAAAAAACCCAAAAACCGGGTGTACCCATATGTGCACATCAGGTCTGAAGGGTTTTTAATCCATGTTCACATTTGTGCACAACAGGTCTCAACGGGAAAAAACATAGACATTTTAAATATATTTATCATCTCAACGAAACCCTTATTTGACTCCTTAAAAGCCCAATGGTCACATATGTGTACAATTTTGAATTTTGAATTTTTTTTTCGAAAAGTTTAAAAAATTTCATATAAGCTGTTTTTATCACTTATTAAGACATGAAAATAACGGAAAATAATATCAAATATTTTTTTTGACCAAAAAGAAAAAGTCAGGTCCTAAAGGGTTAAGTCTGAAAGCAAGTGTACCTAAAACATATTTAATTTAAGTAAAAAAAAGTATTTAAGTATACGAAGTCAATTGAAACAGCAAAAAAAAACAAAAAATTACACATCTGCGGCATTTATACCTACATAAAAAGCATTGTTTTCAAAACAATCTTTATACGAGGGTAATACTTTTTTTTTAAATGTTAAATAAAAACATTATTGCAGCGATAAATCGATAAATTTTTCATATTAATTTTGATTGTTGAGTTGAAATCAAAGTAAAAATGCAGTGTCCGAATCGAAATAATTTTTGTTATGTATGTGGTTTATTTGCACCTCCAAGCCATATGCGAAATATTACAAAAAGTGTAGTAACAGCTTTTGAAGACTATTTTTTGGTGACGTATATACCAAACTTATGGTATGTACCAGAGGTTTTATGCGATTATTGTTACCGTTGTTTGCATGGATTGAAAGATAAAACACACAGTATGAAATATGTTGCACCAACAATTTGGCTTAGACCCGTCGCGACGTACCGAACACGCATCTGACCAGTGTTATTTCTGCATGTCAAAATTAAAAAGTTTTGGATTTCGGTACAATTCTAGAGAGAAAATTGATTACGCCGATGTAGAATCCGTCATTCTCGCAAGAGTGCGATCTGAAGATTATCCAACTGCTCCTTCAGAAAACATATGTGAGGATAAAAGTAAAAGGCCTTTAACACCCAGTAAAACCATTTTTTCCGAGATGGAATCTGAATTTATTCCCTGTAGTTCGGGTTATAAAGTACATTTTATAACACAGGACATGAAAGTACATATGTCACTGAAAATACATTTTCTCCATGCTCATTTGGACTATTTTCCACCAAATTTTGGCGATTTTAGTGACGAACATGGCAAACGTTTTCACCAAGACATTTTAACAATTGAAAAACGCTTCAAGGGAAAAGACGTCAGGCATTTGCTGGGTGAATATTGCTGGTCAATTGTTCGAGATTCTGAAGCAACATACAGCCTGTTCAGAATAAAACCGAATATATCTATATATATATATGGGGCGAGGCCTCGCCTCCCTCCAAGGCGCGTCACAGTTGCTTGTGTGATAAACGACATGACGAAAGGTCGAGCAGGTAAGGACTTAAAAAATTAAAAGATAATAATGCAAAAAATCTCATTAGCGATGCAGTCTATTTGCTTAGCTACTGTGTCGCGCGTTGGAGGGAGGCGAGGCCACGCCCCATATATATATATATATATATATATATATATATATATATATATATATATGAATATATATAGATATATTCGGAACGAGCTGTATAATCGTCAAACTAAACGACCAAGATTTTATTCCAACATGTATTGAATATAAGATAAATACAAAAATGTGTTTCATTAAAAAAAAAATATTTAAAAAAAATCAAAATATAAACTTTTTTTATATTTGTTTTTTGTATTGTGTAAAAACATACAATATTTACAAAAAAATATATTTTTAACCGAGTAAAACATGTACAATCTGTATAAGCATAAATAATAGGAATGACGGCTTAAAATTTTTTTATGACGTGATCTCGTGAAACTGTGAGACACGGGTACGTTTTTTTTACCTCTATTTTCAAAATCTGCTAAAATTTTTCATGGGAGGGAAATCGTGTTGTACTGTGTAATAGTAGTGATATATTTTCGCCAATACATAAATTATACAAAGTAACAGAAAGGGTTTTTACAAGAACAAATACGATGTATTTAAAAGTTTAGTTTATAGTTGGTTATAAAATTAACTAAAACTCATATCTATTTACAAATATTTGTGTTTCTAAAAACAATCACTTTATGCTTCAATTACTATTAGAGAGCATTAAAATAGGTATTTTACAATAATTATATCAATATTTAAATTTAAAACGTTATTAAAAATGTTTACATTGTTTAATTGTAGATTTTTAAAAGGTTCTAAACATTGGTATAAATGTATTACTAATTTTCAGCTAATATTTGAGTGCACTTCTTCATTTTTCATTCTGCCACAAGTACAATAATCTTTGAGTTAAATTTTCTTTTATCAATGGGGTCTAAAAATAACCAACCGATCCTCTTAATACGAAAAAAGTTTTCGCACGTAGTTCGTAAAGTTCACTGATTAATGGCCATTTCGCCGCCTCACAGTGGGCTAGACAAAATTAGGTTTTGCTCAATGTCCCCAATAAACACAAAAAAATATATACAATTCTGAAAAAAGTTTTGTGTCCGTTCTTCTATAAAAAAAATATTTTAAATTTGATTATAATACACGGGGTGATTCGTAAGTCCCCTGGCCAATTCATACCGTTTTGCATTTAGATTTAACTACGTTATTGTTTTATGTCGGCATTTAATTACTTTATTTATTATTTGAAATTTTTTAGTGAATTAATTTTATGGTAAAAAAATTTAAATTGCTTACGTTTTAAGAATTTATATACATTTTATTCAGGGTGTAGCTACTGGTGTCCAGATCTCGGGACCTGAGAGTCTTCCAAAAATGGTCCCGAAATTGTAATAATGTGTAAATTATAAAAGGGTACCTTCAAACGTGTATAAAATAAATAAACGTGTATAAAATAAAAATTTTTTTTACGATATCTGACAAACTAAAATTGATTTCTTTTTAGATCATTGATCTGCATGAAAATGTGCAACTTTTTCGTAATTTAACCAACTATGTTCTCTTAAGATAGGCGAGATACCCATGCTTAGCCTCGGAAAACGGACATTGTAAACAATGTCAAAATACGCTCTAAACATAGAGGAAAATTTATTCCATACCATTAAATGGACAAATCAAATCAAAAAATATTAAAAACAATAAGAACATTTAGAGTAAAGTTTTGCCAGTGTAAATTTTGTTATCAGAAAAATAGCTTACGTAATTAATGGATGTCCCTTTATATTGTTCATTTGCAGTATCTACCCTGCCTCTCGTACTTGATGTGACTTGAAAAAAAATCCTGTTTTTTGTTTTTTTTTTTCAAGTATTTTTTTCAAGATTATTTTTGTTTGCCTAATTTTTTATGTTTCGTCCTGTTCATAGACTAAAAGTTTCGCTCCATATAAAAATAGACATAAACTATTTTTGTCTTTTTCACAGGAAAGCCTATTTATTTATTAATAAAACAAATAAAAAAACAAGGCTTTACGTTTATAAATAATAGCATAATGATTATTTTTCTACAAAGTGTAATAAAAAAATGTAATTTTTTTAAAGTTTAACGCTTTATAAAATAAAATATAAGAAACATAAATTATGTTGTCGATACCAATACAAAGCCTATTTATTTCTGAATAAAATGAAAAAAACAAGTCTTTAGGTCAATTATTAAGGTCACAACATGGTTTTGACCAGAAAACTAGCAAGTTTGTTTTGATTTGGTCTTAAAAAAAATAAAACTACCTATAACAGACTAACTAACAAGTTTTACATTGTTATTGGTTTCTTATGTGGAAACTACCAAATAATAAGAAATCAAATTTTTTAGTCTCAGTCAAAATTTTCAATAATGGAAAATGTAATATATTTTAAATTTCACTTTATTAATATTTATACATTTTGCTCAAAATTTCATATTGAAAAAATACTTAATTTTTTAAGATTGATGATATTTATTGACAGATTATGCTTTAATGTAGCAGATTTGAAAAAAAAACCGGTTTTTTTTTCATGTTTTTTTTTCAAATCAGAAAAAAAAAGCGGTTTTTTACATCTCTACCTATTATTCCTCCTTTTATAATATTCGCTTAAAAGTTTTATTCCTCGTTAAAAAATCATTTCGGGACTTTTGCAGGACCTGGGACCAGTAAAATACAATAAAATCCCTGGACCTTGGTCCCAGGACTGGATACCCTAGTGGCTACGTTATCGTTTAATGTCGTCATCCAATTTTTTAGTAAATTATATTTATTGACAAAATAAGTACATTAGGAATTTTTAAGTTTAATGACTACCTTATAAATTTATATTCAAATAGTTTACTTTTATAGCATTTAATTCATGATAAATTATATTTATTGACAAAATAAGTACATTTTGAATTTTTAAGTTTAATGACTACCTTATAAATTTATATTGAAATAGTTTACTTTTATAGCATTTAATTCATGATATAAGATATTATGTATTCAAATACATTATTTTGGCGTGTAGCCATCGATTTATGTCGTCACGTAATTTTCTAATATATGATTTTTATGATAAAATAAAGATATTTTGACTATTTGCATTACATAATGTAAATACATATTTACAAGGGTTTTTTTAAGATAATATATTAATAAATTATATTGTAATAAACCAATATCCCTTCTATATCTTAAAAAACTATATTAAGCTCAGTTTTTGTTAATTTTTGTAATAATTAACAGCATTTTTTAATAGAGATTTAAAATATTCATTTCATTTTATTTAAATTTTTAATATCAATATCAACTTTTTTTAACTTATCCAGCCCATTGTGCGCCCTTAAGGTGCTGGTTCGCCGTCCCCTTTTATCTGGCCGTCTCATCCATGAATGGATTTAACGGCGGCGGCGGCACCCTGAGCGCATGTCTATATGATGCTTTTTCCCTATGGATCGGGGGGTGGCCGCGTTGCCTAACTGCACAAAAGGTTTCTTATGTAAAGTAAACATGATTTAAATTAAAACATAAACGACGTTTAATATTAAAATTACATAACATACTAATTTCTTTAAAATTTGTACATCATCATACTGAAGAAGTACGTTGTTATGTTTTTTGTTGATTTAAAATTTGAATGTAAATGCATGTGGTGGCAACAGTGTCTGGGGGTGGATAGGGCGCGCAGGTCGCATCCTCCTCGGCCAAGGTTAGAGAAATGTGCATTCTCTTGGGGGCGGCTCTTGCTCACGCCTCTTCTAAACAATACACTGCTTTTTACGATTTGTGTTTTTAATAATCTGTGCCTGTAAAAATTGTGATCGGTTTATCCAAATTTAATAAATAAAGTCGATAAATTTGTGAAACCATCAAATAATTTAACAATGACTAAATTTGCCGAATTTGAAAACTCGGATCAATCGGAAAGGTGAGAACGTTGATTCATTGTATGCAATGTACCCATAAATTCAATATTTTTTTTTTTAAATAAAAAAACCTAAATATTAGATCTCAACCTCAATGTTATACAAATAAACATGGACTAAACTAGTCTAATTATTTACTTTCTAAATCAGATATACACGCATGTATACAGCTCATATTCCAAATTTACCAGGATATTTATTTATACGAAAAGAAAAACAAACGATAATTATAAATAAAAAGACACCTACGGTGGACTGTAACAACAGTTGTGCATAGTTTAAATTTAGAATTTTAAATATTTTACGTATGCTAACGTAAAGCCAATTTTTTTAGCGGGGAAATCGATTTGGATACCCCAACCCACCCAGGCCACTCCAACCCAGACTCCAATAGTTCTTCTACTTCCAGCTTGTCAAAGTAAGTTTTAAATTTTAAAAAGCGTTTCAAAAATAGTAATAAATCATTTTTTTTAGTGGCAGGTTATCAGAAAGCCCCAGCACCAGCGTGGATGCTGTCCAAACCGGTCATAACAAGACCGACGCGGACAGCGACACCGGATTCGAATCGGATATTCCAATGTGGCATAATTTAATTTCGGAGAAAGATAGAAAAGGCCTCAATCCGCAGGAGCAAAAGAGACAGGAGATCATAAATGGTAAATATACTTACATTACACTAGTTTTTGCCTCATTGATGTGAATAATATCAATTGTTAGGGATGACAGATGCTCAAGCACTTTTAAAAGTGTCCATAAATGCTCTAGCATTTTTAAACGCTTGTAAACAGAAGATTAACTACTGTAATTTGTTGGTTATATTATAAATTATAATCTCGCTTTTGAGTTATGGCAGCAATCATCCAGTATTTTTTTAAATCGTTCAAGTGCTTTTAAGCACTTTTCGAGCATTTTTAAAATAACTAGCTTTATTTTATAATCCCGTTTTTAGTTTTGGCGGAAAATTCAAATATTGAGCATTTATAAGCATTTATGAGCATTTTTAATAAAAGTGCTCATTCGTTTCTACTAATTATATATGGATAACGCTTATTGAAAAGGAACCAAGCGCCAAAAATTTCGAGAGAAAATTTGAGAGGGTTTCCAAATCAATATTAATTTTTTGAGCACCATTAAAAATGAGTTATTTTGCAAATAATTATGTTTACCACAGAAAAAGTTTTTGGCGCTTGGTTCCTTTTCGATAAATGTTATCCATATATGAGTCCAGAATCATATTATTGTTATTTTTTACATTATTTTAGACAACATTGGTAAACACCAAAGTAAAATCTATTAAATACAACTTTTTTTAAATTTTTTAATAAAATTAAATAATGTAACAATATTTTATTTTATATATATTTCAGATGTTCATATATTCGTTAAATTATAACTAATAAAAGGCACTGAAATCTTAATTTACAGTACTGTAAGTTACTACTTTATAAAATTCACATGCATAATAAAATTTTCGTATAGGACTCAGGATGGCAAAAACCCAATAGGGGAGTTAATACTTATAACACACTTCCTAAAAAAAATTAAACACTTACAAGGATTTGTATTCAGTTCACAATTAAAAAGTTTTCTAGGTTATAATTAGGTAAATCGAATACTTCTTATAATTTTAATGTCTATATGTAGGTATAATACCTATCTTACGCGATCCGAGAAAAGGGACCTAGGGTCCAAAAGGTTATTTTCGGGATTATCATTATAGTAGAGTGGTAAACGATATTTCTAAAGGTCCAGAGAGAATTTGTTGATGTAAAAAAATAACATGGCCATTAATTTTTGAAGTCGAGCGTTACTACACAAACGCCTAATATTTGACGCGAAAGTGACCTAGTGTCCAAAAAGTGATATTCGAGTAGTGATATTTAAGTAGAGTGGTAAACGATATTTAGAAAGGTCCAGACAGAATATGTTGATCTAAAAAAATGGCATTAATTTTTTGGTGTATAGGCAAAGATTAAATATACTTTTCTTAGTATATTTAATCTTTTGTAGAGTGGTAAACGATATTTCGAAAAGTCCAGAAAGAAATTTGTTGACCTAAAAAAATGACATTGCTATTAATTTTTTAAGTCCAGCGTTACTACACAACCGCCTATGCCGTTTTCCTGTAAAACTTGATTTTGGATTGTAGGTCCCTTTTCTCGGATCTAGTCACATATAATGTAATGTAAATGTTATCATAAGTAACATTATGTTGTTATACATACTGTAATATATTTATAAATAGTTAAATGATCCGCTGTCAAAATATGAATATGTGTAAACATTTTTTGCGATCCACTTTTTGGTGTGGAGTAGCATATCTATTAAAGACCTGCATATATTTATATGGGGGCTACATAAATTTAAACGAATAATAAAAAATAAATATATATATATATATATATATATATATATATACAAGGTGTCCCTAAACTTAGTGGCATAAATTCAGAAGCAGATTAAGCAAGTCAAAATAAGACGAAAATCTAAATAAATATTTTTCCTAATTACGTATGTTTAAAAGATACAGGGTGATAAGTGTTACTTACAATATCAGTTTTTTTTAATATAACTTCTGCTGTGGTAGACTTGGAAAGGTGATATTTTGCGAACAGTCACTTACTACCAAAACACATATTCACATATAATTACAATTGTTCGAGTGAACACAGTGTCGTAGAAACAGGGCTTGCTTAAGCTTATTGTCCCATACAAACTTTGAGGTTAGGTTTTTATACCATTTGATGCAATTTTTCGATTTCTCACTTCGGCTACTATTAAAAAGGTGTACCTCTCAAACATCGATAAAATAAACCGTTTCCGAGATATTCGAGACTACAATAATTGTTATATCGCATTAAAGGACTAGAAGGTATATGATAACAAATTTTTTAATTGAAAAAACTACAATTTTTTTAATGTGACGGTCAGGGCAAAAAGTCCCGAGGCTCATTGAATGGTCTTTTTAGTTTTTTCAATTAAAAAATAAAATTTGTTATCATATACCTTTTATACTTTTAAATAATGCGATACAACAATTATTGAAATCTCGAATATCTCGGAAAAGGTTTATTTTATCGAAGTTTGACAGGTACACCTTTTTAATGGTAGCCGAACTGTGTAATCTAAAAATTGCATCAAATGTTATAAAAACCTAACCTCAAAGTTTGTATGGGACAATAAGCTTAGAGCAACCCCCGTTTCTACGACACTGTGTTCACTTAAACAATTATAATTATGTGTGAATTTGTGTTTTCGTAGTAAGTGACTGTTTGCAAAATATCACTACCATAGTAGAGGTTATATTGAAAAAACTAATATGATAAGTAACACTTTATCACCCTGTATCTTGGAAATATAAGTAGTTAGGAAAAAAATTTATTTTGGTTTTCGTCTTATTTTGACTTGCTCAATCTTTTCCTAAATTTATGCCAATAAGTTTAGGGACACCTTGTATAGATATGATAAAACATTTTGGGTTTATCTGTTTTTGTTTGTGGTAAAATTGTATTTTTAACCACATTTTTTTGGTTCCTTTGTATTTACAGTACTTTTTAGTATATCTGAAACTATTTTAAGTTTTTTAAATAAATAAAAACTTTTTTCAGAAATATTTTCGACGGAACACTCGCACGTGCGTAGTCTTCGTGTCCTACACAAGATCTTCTACGAGAAACTGCGGAGCAGCCAAATCCTCAAAACCGAAGAGCTTCACATGATCTTTCCCAACATTAAGGAGTTGCACGACGTGCACTACGAGTACAACAAGAAGATGAAGGAGTGCCGCGAAGAGACCAAACCGCTTGTGAAAGAGGTTGGCGATCTGCTGCTGAGAATGTTCGACGGTGCGGACGGAGAAAGACTGAAAACGTCGGCGGCCAAGTTTTGCGAGAAGCAGCACCATGTCCTGGAGTTTATCACTGAGAAGAGGAAGAAGGACACTAAATTCGATAATCTGCTTACGGATTGCGAAAAGAAACGGCATTGCAGGTACGTCACTAGCATAAGTGAAAATTAATCATATTATATCACGAGAACTATGAATTTAATCGGGTAAACTAGGCTCAGTAGTTTTTTGTTTGGTTTTTGTTGGAAAATGTTGAATGCAAAATAATTTAATAAAATCACGAGACCGCGTAGCGGTCGAGGGGTTTTATTTTTATTATTTTGCATGAAACTTAGTTCAACTATTTTCCAAAAAGAAAAATCAAATAAAAAACTTACTGAGCATAGTTTAACAGATTAAATTTATAGGTTGAGTGATATACGTCTAGATTATTTGGACGGCTTTCTGCAGAATGGGACCAACCCACACCATGATGAAACTGAGAAAAAAGCTATCAAAGATTTTAATAATTTTAAAATTACCTGTTAATTTTATGCCGATTTTGGACTTACGGAGGTTTAAGGGATATAATTTAATAATTTCATCAGGTGGATTTTGTGATGTTATGTGTAAGGGTGACGAAAAAAATGGGCTTTTGTTGGTTGGTTCCTTTCTGCAATTTATGAAAACTACTATCTGATGTATGTATGTATTTAAAGAAAAGCGAAAATTATTTATTTCCAAACAAAATACAACTGATATTAATATTATAATGGTAATATGAATTAATTTTGATTCTATTTGAAATTCGTCCACATCATCTTCCAACCCCACCTCATCTTGTAAGCTACCAAAAAAATGCATCAAGACTTTATATTTTGCAGAAGCAGGAAATCTTTAAAGACTTTGGTAGTGGGTCTACCAGCCTGCTTTTTTACAAAAAAGATCCAACCCACTTGCAGATATTCTACAGATTCTAATTCTGGATTAGTAATCCACACTATTATCGAATGTTGGTTGGTTCAATGATTAATAGATTTCACTACACTTGCATTTTGTCTATGATCTATTTTGCAGATAAATTATACATACTTAATTAGTTCATAGGCTAAATATCTCGATTTTTTTGGTTTTGTGGGTTGGTTCCTTTCTGCAGAAAGGCGTCCATTTCTCGAATTAAAGGAAACTATTTGACCATTCATAAAATCTGACGTATGTGTCAAAGTTTATAAATATTTTTTTAAAGAAAATTCCATTAATTTAAGGTATGTAATAAGTAATAATTGATATTTCGTAAACTAGATAACTTATTTTTTATTGTTTTTTTAAAAATGTTTGTTAAAACTTGTAAATAACACCATAAAATCGTAAACAAAAATCCAATATGGAGGCTAAAATTTAATCGCTGTTAAAAAGGTCTAGTGATTTAATTGCTTATTTAATAGTTATTTATGTATTAAGGGCATAATAAGGTTTTTATGGTCCGAGGCGCTATTTCGAGCCCGAGCGCGTTAGCGCGAGGGCTAGAAAAGCGTCGTAGGACCATAAAAACCAGTTATGCCAGCAATGCATACAAAACTTTATGCACGTTTTATATTTTAATATTTTTAATATATTATTGTTTTTAAAGACGTTTACTTCAAAGAATTTTTGTTATAATTGTCATATTATAATGTCAACTGACATCAGTCAGTTTTAAAGTTTAAAGATGAATGAAATTGAGGAAGCAGCTGAAAAGGCGAAAAATTGCGGCCTGCTGCCGGAAAAATCAAAATCTTTATACGAAAAAACTTACTTCGAATATATCAAATGGTGTAACATTGTTGTTTTTAATTTTTGACGTTTCATTATAGCCCGCTGGGTCATAATAACGCCCGCGGGCTATAAAAAGACGTTTACGTCAAAGAATTTTTGTTATAATTGTCATATTATAATGTCATCGTGCATAATAGTTATTTATGTATTAAGGGCATAATAAGGTTTTTATGGTCCGAGGCGCTATTTCGAGCCCGAGCGCGTTAGCGCGAGGGCTAGAAAAGCGTCGTAGGACCATAAAAACCAGTTATGCCAGCAATGCATACAAAACTTTATGCACGATTAATATATTATAATTTTTAATATATTATTGTTTTTAAAGACGTTTGCGTCAAAGAATTTTTGTTATTATTGTCATATTATAATGTCAACTGACATCAGTCAGTTTTAAAGTTTAAAGATGAATGAAATTGAGGAAGCAGCTGAAAAGGCGAAAAATTGCGGCCTGCTGCCGGAAAAATCAAAATCTTTATACGAAAAAACTTACTTCGAATATATCAAATGGTGTAACATTGTTGTTTTTAATTTTTGACGTTTCATTATAGCCCGCTGGGTCATAATAACGCCCGCGGGCTATAAAAAGACGTTTACGTCAAAGAATTTTTGTTATAATTGTCATATTATAATGTCATCGTGCATAAACGAAATTTATTCGAAAATTCAAGGCTTTTGATTGGTTCATATTATATTGAGGGAAATAATCGTCTATATTACTTTTTCCATATTCTTGTATTCATGTTTTTGTTAAATCATTTTATCTGGCGTTGGATTTTCTGTGGTTTTTATAGAAAGGATTTTTTCTTTGAACTAAAGTGTAAAGGATTTTTATTAATCTTTTTAAATTTGGGAATATAGTTGACCAAATTGATTAATTAAGTTGTCACCTTCATTGGTAATGGAAATTAATTATTTCTCAAGTTATTTTTTTTTAAATTAATTTTAACTTTGAAATGTTTGTGGATATTGATTTATTGATTATAAAATGTCATGTTAAAAATATTTTTATTTATTATTAGTAATAAATACACATTTTATTATGAAAAGAAAACTTAGGGTTTAAATTATTATTTTCTAAAATTGTTAATTATCTTAAACCATTGCACAAAGACAACAATACTGAAAAATTAATTAAAATTTCCCAAGTCAACCACCAAAAAAAATATTACTTAATTATTAAATAATAATACTAGGTATTAACCATTAATCCTGTAAAGGATTTTGCTTCATTACCTCTGGTTATAAAATTACAGGGGGGGGGGCAAAGTTTATAGTTTTTCTTTAATGAACATAAAACAAATAGTTTAAATAAAACATTTTTAAAATTTTTTTCATTTTTCATTATTTTTAAAAAATCTAATAATTTTTTTAAAATAAAATAAAGCTTATTAATTCTTTGACTTTAAAATCATATAAGTTTAATAATGGCAAAGAAATGGTTTTAGAAATGTTCAACTGTTTAATGCGCTAAAGCATAGAAGTGTATCAAATGTCATCTGTCATCAAGCAATACTTTGATCGGTGTCATCCCCATTATTAAACTTATATGGTTTTAAAGCAAAAGGTGCTTAATTTTGATTTTTTTAATAATATATTTTTTGATAAAATTAATAAATAATTTAAAAATATTAGATATTTTATTAATTCAAAAAATTAATTTAGTTCATTAAAATGAATGAAAAAAGAGGTAAAAAATATATTTTTTTAAATTTTATGTATGGAATATTTTTTGTTTGAAACAAAAAAAGTAAATTTTGCACCTCTGTAGTTTGATAGCCTGAGGTTATGAAGCAAAATCCTTTACACAATTAATAGTTAATAACTAATACTACAATTTAAAAAAGATTAACAAAGTGAACATTTTTTTGATGGTACATTTTGGAACAGAAACAGAAAACGTAACGTTCATTTCTTCATATACAAGTAATATTCCTTTCAATCGTGATCCATTATTGTGATCCTTAAAAACACATTTACTACTATCAAAAAAATTGTAATTAATGTTTATTGCAGGCGATTACCGTTACAAGGCATTTTACCAACGGAAATGCAGAGACTTTCAAAGTATCCCATGCTGTTGGAACGTTTGATCAACAATACAGATTCTTCGTGCGTTGACGAACTGTCTAACCTGAAGAAGGCCCATCAACTGTCGAAATCGGTCGCCAATTTTGTCGACGAGGCCGTCAAATTGGCCTCGAATCGGCACAGGCTCGAGGAAATCCAAAAACATCTTGAAGTCTCATCTTTAAAGGTAAAGCAATAAAAACATCAGTGATCATTTTTATAAAATGGATATTATATTTTAGTATTTTATTTTTTATTAAAATAATAATATATATAAGTTACCCACCAATAAAAAAACAGTTAAGTTCCATTGTACTTACAAAAAAAAAATTTTCGCATTTTCCCGCACTCCACTAGCCTAAATCGGGCGTATATGACTTCTACTTCTACGGGCATAAGTGTATAAAAGAAAAAAATCATTAATTTTTTGTTGTTTGCCAACAATTACAACACAGTTTAGTAATAATAAATTATAACATCCCGTGTAGTCTTAGTAACTTTAATAATTTTTTACTTGGAAATGAGACTGTCAATCTTTCTAAAACTTTGTAAATGTCTTTTAAGTAGACTCAATTACAACCTTACATGTTTTCAACATTTTCTCATAGCCACTAATATCGTGCCCAAACAATTATAATAAACAATGCCAAAGATTCTAAACAAAAATAAATTTTAAAAACTAAACAGTATTTTCATTAAATAATTAATTTATGCCACATAAATCCACTAAAATATTTTGTTTCCAATTATACATAAGTTTAGGGTCCCTACATTTTTGACGTCAAATTCCTAATGAAAAAAAACTAAGGTATTATATAAAATGTCAAGAGTTTTTTTTCAATATTATTTATAATTTCGTCGATATTTAATGGGGTTCGGCCATCCGTCAATGTGCCCGCCAGCTGGCCGGGCCCCCCACTGGCATACATGTTTACACATTAAAAAATATTCTTGCTGCAAATTTAAATATAAAATTATAAGTAAAAATGAGGTCAAAATTATAATAATACATTTTAAAAATCTCCAAAAACTTTCATTTTTTTATAAAATTTTAAGAAACCAAAACAAAATTGTCAGAAAACATTTAAAACGCGATGCAATCGTTCTATTAAAATATGGTTAAAATCTTTTTTTCTCAAAGATTGATCATCCGTTGCTGAAAGACGTCAGTCTAGCCGCGATGCAGGACCTGACCAGGCACAAGCTGATCCGGGAGGGCAGCATGTCGCTCCGGAGGCCCAACAAGCCACTGGTTCCCGTTCACGTCTTGCTGATGGAGGACGTGGTGTACATTTTGCAGCGGGACGCCGACCGCTACGTACTCAAATTCTACCAGTCTGGGTCCAGCTCCAACATGCTGCCCCTGTCACCCTACCTTAAGACAAGTCAACTACTAGTCAGGCTAAATGCAGTTTGTAAGTATCTTAAATCATTTTTCAAGATTTGGAATTTTTAAATTTTGGTAATTGTTTTTATAACTGATGTTTTGATTACTATTGATTAATTTTGCTAAAAAAATCGTAAATATATGTTAAAAAATCATTTGCCAAGCTTTCATTTTAAGTCGTGTTAAATAATTTACTAAATTAATTCCCATTTGCTTAAAAAAACCTCAAAAACGAGTTTTTATTATTTTTATCTAGAGAATAATTAGCACTTTCAAAAGCGCTCATAAGTGCCCATAAATGCTCGAGCATTTACCAAAGTGCTCTATATTTGAATTTGTCGCCAAAACTAAAAAGCGGGGTTATAAATTAACCAACAAATAACTACTGTTTACATCAAAACATGTGCAGGCGAGGGGTAAACAACTGATTTAAAAAAAAAATTGCTTACGAATTAATGGCTAAGGATAACACTAACAAGGGAAGTCATGCGCAACGCGTCGCTAAGAGAAATTTCTTATTGATAAGCACTGATTAAGCAAGTTTTCCCTATTGATAACGACTGATAAGGGAAAAAATCACAACACAACGTCTACTAACATTGAACGTTGGTCTCTAAGATTTTAAAATGGTTTACCCCTCGTGTGCAGGTAACAAAAGTGGTGCAGGTTTATCCAACTCCAAAATGGTTTACTTACCTCTATTTTGTTGGATTTTTTTTTCAATAATTTTTTTTATATAATTTATATTTCATCTTTTATAAATGCTCGAGCATTTATGAGCGCTTATGAGCATTAATGAGCGCTAATGAGCACTTATGAGCGCTTTGCAAAGCGCTCGAGCATCTATCATCTATATTTTTATCATATATAACATGGATTCAAATTTATATGGCTACTATGAATAGTTTAATAGAAAGAAAAATAATATTTTGGTTACTTGCCTGTTTTCAGAATTTTAAAATATAAATTTTAAAAAGAAATATTTATGTTAAACAGCCATTCCACGTTACTCGGGAATTTTTGTAGCGTCCGTTACAATCAAAAATTGTGAGTAAAACTACCGTAATTATGATGCTTATAAGCTTAAGCCCAATTATTACAAGCATAATAAACATGTTTGCAATAGTAAATATTGTAATAGTATTTAATTTAATTACGTTAGCTTTTACTCACAATTTTTGAATGTAACGGACGCTACAAAAATTCCCGAGTAACGTGGAATGGCTGTAAAATGGTTTTGAGTCTAATTTTATTTTTTTATACTAAAATCCATTCCAAAATATTAAATTATAATTAATTAATTATAATTAAACCGTAATATTATCAAGATTAAAATTATTTTTTACGATTATATATTAAAACTTGTCTTAAAAGAAATGTTAAAATAAACGTATATGTAGTTAATTCCATTTAAGAACGTTGATAGGAGTTATTTTTGACCAATCAAGACGCATATAATTGTAGTTAAATTTACACATGTGTAAATTAACCTGCAGGTAGGCATTTTAATAACTCTCTGTCACATAAGTTGGATATTTGATATATCGCGAGGCGAAAATTATAATATTCTATCTACATAAACAATAAATTGTCAGGAAGAGCGTTTAAAAAATTGACCATATAAAAATCAATTTTAGTTGGCTTTATTTGGTCAAAATATAATTTATTGACTTTTCTAGGTTGTTTTATATTATTTATTTATATGTGAAGTTTTTTCTCATTTATACTTTTTATAAAAGAATAATAAACAGCTTTTGGAATTAATTTAAATAATTGGTATAAATAAACCTTATCTTCGGCGAGTACCTAAACATGTTTTTAACACCAGACACGGTCTCACATCGGACAACTTAAAAAATCATGTGTGGCTTTTTACTTATTCAGAACATGTTTCACCATATATTCTTACTTTTTTTGCTATTAGCATGAAATTAGGACGCAAAAGAGGTCTCTTGTATCGCAGAAATCACAGTCTTAAACTGAAATTTATAGAATTATAATGTTCTATCTGCAAAATTCCGAAAATTCCATTGGCGGAGCAGGTAGAACATTATAATGATTCGGAATTCCTGAAAATAAAATATAGAACAATTTTCAAATGCATTTTGTAGCCTAAAGAGTAATAAAAATTGGTTTAAGTCAGTGTAGATCTAATCATATTCATTAAAATATTTTAACCAAGCTAAAATCCCAGATTTGGAAAAAAGTGCAGATAGAACAATATAATTCTCGCCTCGCGATATACTTATACACTGAATGTTATTATATAAAGCAATCCCATGCTATTCTAAAACAAATTTGCCAACTAACAAAAAGCATTAAACATTTAATAATATTTACATTATTATTACCGCGTTCTCCTGTATGAAAGATCTTGCTTTGCAGCAACATCTAGTTAGTTCTTAAAAACATAGTTTTAAGAAATTAATAGCTAAAAATATTACAAATAAAATTTAATACGTTCAATAATAATTATTGGTATTTTTTATAATAATTTTATTATTTTATTATTCATTATTGAATATAAATTTGAAAGGGGGAATTGAGGCCTAAAACCCTTATATAGTGGAATATTACATACAATTTAAAAAAAATAAATTTTTAATTGAATTTCCTTCCCATTCTGCTTAAATTTTGGGAGCATTCTGGCCGTGGGGATTTACGTCGTCCGCAATAAAAAAAGTTGAAATTGGGCAAACATAATTTGAATAGAACTAATAAATTTAAACATTGACAAAAATCAATATATTTAATAAAAGATGTTGGCCACAAGATACCTTAAGCATGCGCATGGTAAAATCCAAACATAACCTTTGGTATAATAGCTTTTTGACTTAAAATTATCACAAATATTATTAGTAAAACCAAGAATTTTACTTATTTCAGGTAAAAATGGTTTATATTTGGTAAACACAAATACAAACAGTAGTCAAATATACGACCTGATTACCGAAGAAGATGCCCAACGAGATATGTAAGTAAATTAATTATAATATTAATTTTTTCTCTTTTTTATTTTAAACAATCGGTCATTATTTATTTAAAAAAAAAATCTCCCATCAAATAGAACCTTGTCCTTGACATAATAAACTTGAAGATGCAAATAAAATCGTTGCATCATTAGATATTAAAGCAAAATTTATTTGCAATCAACCATTCAAACGTTTATTCCCTTAAAATAATAAATGTCGAAATTCATTACAAGGAAGTTATTTATATTAAATTATATAAACCGAATTTCATTTCTATTTTTAAAAGTGGGTGATTAAATGGTTTGATAAATTATCATCATATATAGCTTTCCAATAAATTTGATTAAAAATAGTTTTCCGTAAGTTATTAAATTAATCCGAGGGGTCACCCACACCTGGGAATCCCTGGACATTTTAAAGGGGGAATACCATAGGAATACAATGGAAATACATAGGAATACAATAAAATATAATGGGAATACATGGGAATCCCTGGACGTTTTCCCTTTGGGTGGTTGACCCCTCGAATTAATCTTGACTTGCCGCCTAATAGGCGTACATTTCTCTATAGAAAAATTTAAATGTTCGCCGCTACTAATAGTTATTTGCATGATTTTATTAAATTGTAGTACGCCAAATAAGGAACCACACTTGACTTTAATTTCTCACATAAATATAGACCTAAACATGTTTGCATAAATCAAAACAAAATGAAATAATACCGATCGAAAAAAATACGAGAAAACATTACATTACATTTCGAATTGTAACAGTCAGCCTTGGTAACACTATATTTGTAATTAATAGAGGTCTTACATTGTCCATTAAGTTGGAATTAATACGTTTTTGGTCTGTATTTCCTTATTTTAAATGGTCTTAAAGAATGGATCAATATCAATCTAATATGGCATAAAATCATAATAAACATGTTTGTACAAAAATTTGACATGTATTATGTTATTTACTGCGTCTTGCAAAACAAAGCTTAGAGACTAAATAATAATAATCAAAACACTTCAAGTAGCTATTAAATCAAATTTTAGACATCAATAACTCAAGCGTTCTTATTATTAACACTTTGTATGCATTAACGTACTGTTGGAACTATTATTAGCCGTTTAATTAAATTTTATTATTTTTGACGGCACATGTTAAAAGTTAAAAAATCAACTTCAACATTTTAACCGTAAAATAATACAACATCCAAGGAGGAACTAAATGTGGCGCAACGTTTTTATTTCATGAAATCGACTGAAAAAACAAACTGCAGAAATCAAAGCAGGACCTTGACTGAAATGTTTTTGAGCAACGCTTTATAAATTATTCCGCATTTATCGCGTATGCGCGCGTGTTTTCAATTGTTTACATATGGAAAATTATTGAAAATTTTCTTGAAATCTGTGGTACTTATATTCATACCTCATCGATATAATGGCAATTATTTTATTTTACGTCATAGAGCACACTGCGTCATATATAACACGCACAATACGTTAATATTGTTTTTAATTTTAAATAAAATGTGGTTTGAGACCTATACGATTTGTGTGATATGTATCAAGAACTAGTTGCGCATTTAAATCCGAGAATACTCCCATATTTGTTTTTATCTAAGGTAAAACAAGTAATTATTAGAATGAGTGGTGCCGCTTAGCGCGAACCTTGCGAATGATAGAGATCGCGTCAGTTATTTGGTGGAGTTTGAAACCTAAACAACTAAAAAGAATTCATTTATTGGGATTTGCAATCATGACTTAATTTAGTTTTGCGTAAAATGTTTTGCGAAGAAAAACGGGGCTGGCGCAGAAAATCAGTTGGTGTTGTTAGTATGACCGAAAACATGCGAATTTGTGAGGCCGAACAGCGAAGGGGTAGTTTATCCCTTTCTACAACTTTACCCCTGAATGTTGCTGAAAAACGAAGGGGGAGTTTAATTTCCAGGTATTAAATTAAATGATCATCGTTTTATTGTTTTTGATTGTTTGTTTACAGTTATCTATACTTCAATGAAATATTTAAAATTAATGTTCCCATTGCTAGATACTGATACTAAATGTGATTTTTTTTATTCTTGTTAAAAATTTATTTCAATGTAAAAACAATTGCATCTAAATATTCATACAAATTTTTATTCGTTTTGTTTTAAGTACCTAATATTATTATCCTTATATTATAAGGATATTGGTAGTCAAATTAAAATCCGTTTAAATTATAATGCATCTTAAATGTTTACAAGTTGGACCTTATCATTTTATGACTTAATATTTGCGTATTAATTAAATTTCGTCATTAATTTGTATAAAAATATTAATATCTAAGTATGTGGCTTGTTGAAAATGGTTCATTTGTTAGTAAACAACAGTGAATTTAAAATGTCTGACAATTTAAAACCAGAAGAATATAGCATATTGTATAGGTAAATTGTAATTTTCGTTTAAATAATTTATGTCAATAACTTCCATGTGTTATAATTAAAAATTTGAAAACGTAAACAATTACGTTTTCATTACACCCAATTAGTAGTAATTGCCTGTTTGTTTTGATTTAAGCGATGGTATAAACAGTTGGACTGTTTGAAAAAATGCTTTACAAAAATACGTTCTTGTTTTCAGGTGGTTTAGGCATTTCAGCGAAGCGGTCGAAACCTACAATAAAAAGGGACGGCAAGCTGAAGCAGCCGCCCGCCGCCGATCTGGGCGATGGCGCCGAGAGCGTGCAGGACCTTCCGCAGGGAGACGCCCGCGCCGAAAGGGCGGAAAAGGTGGGCGCCGAACTGGGCGACGGCGAAGAGAGCGACGCGGACGAACAGGTCGACACCAAAAAAGACGAAGCTGGCGATTCGGTAGAAAGGGGTGACGAAGATACGGAAGATGACAGATTGGAATCTCCAGGTTTGTAAACATTTTCACACGCTCTAAAATCCCTAATTAAACCGTGATTCAGGAGCAACGTGGCCAAATTATAAACAATCTGCATTTTCCACTTATTAGCGGAGTTTTGTTTCTCGAAAAGAAAACAAGTTAAATTAAAAGCAAACAATTTAATTTTAACACAAATCCTCACAGTTTTTATCTCAGAAACCATTTTAATTTTCGATACCGGTAATGCTGACTAATATGTAACAATGCAATAATAGTTTTTATCAAAATTTCAGCAACAATGGATTTTGGTATTAATTGCTTTTATAAATTACGCGATGAATAATAATTGATTTTAATATCCGTCACAATGTAGTGTTATTCATAAATGACCATAAAACAATATTAATTAAATTTATATAAATATTATTTTTATAAAAATTCTGCTTGTTCTAAAATCTAAAATACAATCATCAGATATAAAAAAAATTCAATGCAAATGTAACTGTAGTTATATGTAATCTAGGATGCACTGACAAACAAATGATTTGTTCATAGCAAGAAATGTTTGACATTGAATGTCAAAACATCAGAATTTGCTTATTACTTTCTGAATGGAACGAAAAGGTTATCGTCTTTGTAATAAATAAAAAGATAAATTATCGGTATCGGTATTTTGTAAAAAAAAACTTAAGTAGAAGGATGTAATTGCATATTAAAACATAGTTTTTCATTCCAAACAATTTTTCATAATTACAGTTTTCGATATTGTCACAAATAAAGGTACTTTACTCTTGTACCAAATTAATATTTTTTGTAAAACCTTGTATATGATATTTGATATTTAATGATTTTATTTTAGATTTTAGAACATGCCGAAATTTTTATAAAGAATAATTTTTTTTCGTAAAAGTTTTCCATATGTTGCCAACTTAAGTAGACACACTGTAGATATACAGGGTGTCCCATATTTAACGTGCAATACTTTAACAGTATATTCTACATACAAAAATAATAAGAAAAATAGCCCCTGAAGATGTTTTTTATTTAATATCTCCAAGACCGTAACTTTTTATGACCAATAAGATGTAACAATTTAAAATTGTCCATGAGGGGTGGGTCAGATAGATAGGGAGTAAGGGTAAAACCACCCTAACTTTTTTGTACGCGTCTTGTCCCAGGGTTTGATGTCAGATTATTTTATTTTGGAGGTTTACACACAAAAAAGGTCATCTTGTTGAACTTCGATAATTACCATTTTCGCTTAAAATCGATTTGAACACTACCTTACATGGCATAAAAATTCATAATGAAATCAAAACTGGAGAAAAAGATTCAGCTTGGGCCATGGAACACTGCTGCCATGTTTAGGAAAAGTTATTTAAGATAGATGACATTTTTTGCAATGTAACAGGGAGTTAGATCAATTTCATTTTTTAATCTTGAACGGTTTTGAAGATTAATTAAAAACCTTCATAAAGGGGCTCCTCTTTTGGGGCTGTAGCTCCCTTAGGAAGCATTTCTCAACCTATGTTTAAAGGAACTTTTTTCCTATTTTTGTGTGTTGAATCTGCTGTTAAACTATTGCACGCTAATTATACACCCTGTATATATATATATATATATATATATATAGATTTAAATGTAATCTCTGGAAATTGTGACTTTGTATTATTTATGTAATGATAAATGATAAACCAAAAAAAATAATGCAATACAATTTTGTTTGACAAAAATTAATTTTCAGTGGTTACATTTTCTTTGTTATTAGTATGCAGGATTTTTCTTTTAATTTCAATTTTATAGCTATAATAAAAGTTATTGTTTATTAATAGCATTTATTTGAGTCAAGGAGAAGAGAAATCATGCTGTTTTAATAATATTAAGTATTTTTTAATCTTGTAACAAAATATTAAGATGAGGTTGTGGTTTTATAGAAACAGTATCTGGTGGTGGTGGTGTCCAAAGGATACCAAAGGTCAGCGCTGAGGAATGGCCTTTAATCCAGCCCTCGCAGGTCCAGGTTGAAGTGCCCCCTGTGCACACTGCAGAGTCTATGCTCACTCCGCTAGGTAATACACTCGCATCTCCTATTACTTTGTCTAATATTTAATCAAGCACAGCGCTTTTTGCAATACACGTATCACAAGTAGGATTTAAGTGAGCATTGTTAAAAAAATGTGAATATGTTTTTGTGGTAAATTTAACCATTATAAAGTCTTCAATTCATCATTTTCAAGCCAGTTACGTATTTTCACGTTTGTAACATTTTGATTTTGCTCTGTGAGTACATTGAGCATATCTGAAACATGTGCATGTTGCGCCTTAATTCATTTAAAGGAATCAGGTCTTCAGCTTCATATTTAGCTTCTTTATTTAATATCAGCAAAAGTAAGACTTTGATAAAGACTTTTCCCCAAGCATTGTATAGTAAGCAGTGCTTACTAAGCACACAACTCTGTCAATTTTAGTTTTTTAAAGTATAGACACGCACTGATCAGTTCCGGTTAAATTTCGCATAGTAGGAAATTAGGGGAATCCCTCACTGGCGAATTTGGTTAATTTATTTGAATTATACTTCTACAATTTAATTTTAAACACGGATCCGGAATAACGAGTAATATCAGTTCAAAATAGAATCAAAATGCTTGACCGGATTACCGAAGAATCCGAAATTATTATAATTAATTTTTGATTTAAATATTTTTTGCTGTTGATTTATTTTATAATATCCAGGGTGTATTATTTTTAAAGGTTATTAAAATATATTAAAATAATAAATGGTAGTTTTAGAATTAAGGTTTAAAAGAAAATGTATTTTTTAAATTTATGTAGCAACAGCTATACAATAATTGTTATAAAGGATGCATCAAAAAGTCATTTTAAATGAAAATATCAAAATATTTTTTTTTGTTTTTTTTTTAATTTAAAGACAATCATAGACCAATACAATAAAATTCATTAATATTAGAACCAATAAAATTCCAGTATTCCATAGTTACGCATTTTATCACAGAGACAATATTTTTTATCACCTTGTTTACATAATACTAAGGATTTTGACACTTCTTGATTTGACATTTGTTGTAATATATCATATTATGATTAAATTAATAAATTATAAACTCTAAAAGATTGATGGGTTGGTGTAAACGGTAATGAAATTGATGCAAGTTTGAATAAATAAGGTTTAATGAAGTCTTTTTATATTTTAATCTTAAATGTCACACTGACAATTCGTTAAATCCTAAAATTCATTATATTTTCTCACTAAATATAACTTGTGGTATGATTAATAAATTATTATTATTAATAATAATTAATCATATTTACTCATTGAAACCAAAGCAGCACACAAAAATGAAGATTTATGACAAATTACAAACAATTAGCTACAAAATTCTGATAAAATGTTTTGCAAAATATCAATTAGCCCACAAGCTAAAGTGAGGTTTAAACTAATTGACAGATGTCAGTAAATTATTAAATAAAATCGGCTTTAAATTCTTTGTGGTTGTTGAATAAAATATTGTGTGCGGCTATTGGTCAAAAGAGGAGATTCCACTCGCTACGCTAACGAAATTTACCATTCACATAACTTCAGAGTCGAATTTACACTATTGTTGTTTTATTTTACGTATATAATCCAAGGAACCGCTAGTTTAACCGTATGTCGAGAAATCGGTTTTTGACATTCGACATTGATGACGCAATTTGAAACATTCGCCCCGACGAACTATTACGTTCTTTGTGAGGTTCGAATTTGGAAAATTTTGTTTTTGTTTAGTGGTAATTTTTAAATACAAAAATGGACAAGAAATAATCAAATAGCTCATTTATTACATTCATTTTTATTACAATGTGTTTCAAACTACAAATCAATGTTATGTCATCTTCATTTATTTTGTTTTTAATAACCACTTTGGTTTATTTAAAAAAGCAAGAAAAAGGTATTTAATCACAATCACAACTCAATGCCATTAAAAATCATAGAAATCATTACAAATGTCAAACCATCATAACAAAAGCAATGCGCAAGTTCCATAGCCGGTACCATGGAGCCCAAACATAATAGAGGAAATTGACAAAACTTGCCCTCTAAATCGCACAAATTAAGCTTGCAAGAAATTTTTGCCCACTTCAACTTCCAATTTAACGCCGAATTTCATTGTAAACGATCACACTGTTAATACATTTGCTAAGCTTGCGAGCCAAAGTGCCACTCGGCTAGCGAATTCATTACGAATGTATCATATTTAAAATTATTATAACATTTTGCCGTAAAAATTTTTAGTTTTTGGTAAACTTTTTCTCTGTTGCACATTTTAATAAAATGCTCAGTTAAATTTAAAGAAATATGTATTTAAAACAGTTTTGGTTTATTTATTGTTATTAGAGCAAATACGCCGCAAAGATATAGAGGTGCGTCGCGCGTTAGAGGCGAAGGAGCACCTGGTGGCCGACCTGCTAAACATACCTCGCGAAGATTTCGCGCACATCGCCGACATGGCGAGCGCCGACAGCGCCGGGCCGCGCGAACCCACCGAGCGCATCATTGCCGCCATCTACCAGTCGAATTTGCTGCAGCAGCTCGTCAACGAGTCGCTAAACGTGACGGAAGCCGACGCTGTGAGGGCGAGGGGCGCTAAAAGCACCGCCGCCTGCGCCAGTCAGCAGCAACCAGAAGGGCAGGACGCGCCGACGACGTCTGGCAAGCCGGCCATCGATGCCAACGCCGTGCAGACGATTGCGTACACGCTGAGCCGGCAGCTCGATGCCTTACTGGTATGTTACTGTTAGTATTATTTAAAAATGTTAAACTGGATAAATCTCAAAATTATTATAAATGAGTTGCTTATTGCCAAGTTTTTTAACACTTTTACAGTCCCTGACCAATTTATTAGACTCATTTACGAATTTTCTTTAATTTTGTTAATTTATAAAATAGCCATTATTTGCAAAACTCTTTTTTTCAGGAGCAACAAAAAACCTTTTAGCTTGAAGGCAAATTATTCTTTCGGTTCGATTTTTTTTCCAACACAATATACAATATACAATATAATATGAAACTCCCATAGTTATTCAGAAGAAAAAAATGTTTTTTGCAAATAGTTTTGAAAAGTGAAGTTAAACGTTAATTTATTAATCAACTTGTAACATTAAAAAGATTTTTGCAAAACAAACAAAAATTAGTATGCAAACGAAAAAATCTTAAATTATTTTGGTGTCGTTTACGTTACGTTACGTCATCTTCACTTTTAGCAGCTTGATCTTGAATAATTTTGTAAAAAGATAATTCTGGTAGTTTTATCCAATCTTTGCCATAATGTTTAACCACTAAACCAATAATGGAAGTTTTATCCCCATTAAGTTTCTTGCTTTCGGCACTTCAACTGGCTCGGATTTTCACAACTTTGAAACTAGAGAAGCACAAAACATCAGAACAGACAGAGTTATGACCAAAAAGGCTTCTGGAACAACAATACATCTTTAACGATCTACCAAACTCGATTAAATCCGTAGAAAAATATAAAAAAAATTATAAAAACATTAAAAAAGTACATCAAGGACAATTTATAATTATTATTCTGTTATTCAATTTAAAAATCTATTCTATCTTTATTGTATAAATTACTCTACATTAACAGCTATTACAAGTTGATTTGTAGTCAATTTAATAATTAAAAAAATGTATGTAAAGAAAGAGTTTTGCAAATAACCGACAACTCTTAAACCGATTTTATACAGCAAAAAAGCAGTTATTTTACGTTTTATCAAAAATCTGATGAAATTAGCGAAAAAAGTGAATTTTGATTATTTTGTCGATTAGAGACTTTTGCAAATTATGGCCTCATATATTCTCACAAAAATGAGTTTAGAACCACAAAAGTGCCTTTTAGAACAATAAAACACATTAAGAACAAAATGAAATTAAAAAAGTGATGGTTAAAAGATTAGCCAAAAAACTTCTATTATGTTGAGTCGAACCATGTCAAATGGGTCCATAAGTTTTTTTCAATTATAAGGTTATGGTAAATTAATCTTAAAATTGACATTTGACAGTTTGATGACAGCCCTGATAAAATAAGGTTTATTTTTTACAAAAGAGGAGCTAAATGGTTGTCCTTAGCACTTTATAAAGTTTTAAGTAGGTTCTGTAAGAAACAACGTTTAAAACGATTTTTAATCTATATAAACAGCACAAACCTAAAGCACAAAAATTGTAAACAATATAATAATGGCCGCCGTTAAAATCTGTGCAGTGGGTTGTCTTATTTCTTGATTATAAGCATAGATAACCGAAGGTATGCGCGAAACTAGATAGAGCGCTCGAGAATAGCACCAAAATCCACACAAGGTCTGTTTTATCTCGTTTTGGGCAAACTAAAAATCACTGCAACACTGCACAGAATCTAACGGCGGCCATTTTTATGTTTACCATTCTTGTGCTTTGGGTTTGTGCTGTTTATACAGATTAATAATCGTTTAAACGTTGTGTTTCTTACCGACGCACTTGTAAGCCCCAAATGAGGCCTTAAAGTGCTAAGAACAACCATTTTACTCCTCTTTTGGTAAAAATAAACCTTATTCTATCAGGTATGTTATCAAACTGTCAAATTTCAATTTTAAGGATAATTTTCCATAACCCCCAAATTTAAATTTGACAGTTTGTTGACAGCCCCAGGTTTTTTACAAAAGAGGGTAAAATGATTGTTCTTAGCACTTTAAGGCCTCAATTGAGGCTTACAAGTGCCTCTGTAAAAAACACAACATTTAAAACGATTTTTATTAATCTATAATAATAATAATAATAAATGTCTTTATTGATTATAAGAGATACAATCAATGGGCGAAGTTCAGCTTATACAAAGCATGTATTTGCTGCTCTTCCACTTAACCCTTAAAGAATTGTAAACAACATAAAAATGGCCGCCGTTACATTATGTGCAGTGTTGCAGTGATATATATATATATATATATATATAGTGCTTGCAAATCCAAGTCCGACCGCACTGGAAAGGACGGCTGTTCAATACCCGCGTGAAAAGAACAAGGATAGAACGCCAAATAGAATTTGATTGGCCAGAGCCGGCAGGCTACGACAACGCATACCCATCGCGCACCTCGCAGCGTGCTTGACACGAGGATATCAGAACGAGAACTGCAGTGGTGCCAGCAAATTTTAGTAAAAAAGATTATTTAATTAAAAAATGTACACGTTGGAACAAAAAGTTCAGATTTTAATCTGGCACTTTGCTGGTAATTCTGAACGAGAAATTCAAAGATTATTTGCGGGAATGTTCGAGGCCAGACCAAACAGAGAAACAATTCGACGAACCGTTAATAATTTTCTCACGCACGGTTCTGTAGTTCCGATGCAGTTCCGACGGGAATTTTTATAATAGGTTATGCTATTGTTTGGCTGCCTATGGGGGCTTGTTCGAACATTTAATTTAATTTTTGAGTTTATTTATTTTTATTATTTATTTTTAGAGTTTTATTTTTATTTAGAGTTTTATTTTTATTTATAGTTATTTTTATTCAGAATTATTTTTTATTTGAGAAATCTTTTTTATTAAGAATACTATTTTTGTTGTTGCCCTAGTTCTCAAGGAAAAAAATCAAACAATTTTATTTTTAAGATTCGGGTATAAAATATTTAAAAAGAAAATTAAAATGTGCATCTACACTCTAACGCAGTTTGCTTGGCACTAAATCATTTAGTCTAAATGCAGCCAGACTGAGAGTTGACCTCGCTTACAATTCGCACGCATCCGGGGCTCTGGCCAATCAAATTCTATTTGGCGTTCTATCCTTGTTCTTTTCACGCGGGTATTGAACAGCCGTCCTTTCCAGTGCGGTCGGACTTGGATTTGCAAGCACTGTATAGTATGCGCGAAACGAGATAGAACAGACCTTGTCGTCATAATCATGTTGATAACGTAAACTTGTTCTTGTTTTTAAAATATCGTAATTTTCAATTATAGGCTGATGTAAAACAAATGGAAGACGAACGCGATAGACTGAGGAAGGATAATGTCAAGCTTAGAGAGTGTCTTCATGAACAATCAAATCTACACGGACCCGTAGAAGATGCCACTGATGAAAACCCTAACGGCGATGACTTGGAAAACGCGCAGGTAATTAGTAAAAACCTGCCCCATTGTTTTTGACATTAATTTGTTTGTTTTTTTTGTTCCAGGATAGTCAGAAAGCTGAAGAATGTGAAGCAGTGGGGGAATAAGCAATGCAAATAAAGGAATTAATTGGTCTTAATCAAAATTAGTTACAATAACTGATTAATCGTGCGAAATCGCGTAAGATGTTTTGTATAAAGAACGTTTATATAATTTCATTTTGATTTGAATGTGTAATTTTGCTGCTGCTACAGTGTAAATTATAATAATAGCATCAGCCTAAGGCGTCGCAATGACACCCATATTTATATATATATATATTTGGTATTAATATTATTTTTTATAAAGAACCACGTGAAATTGTGATTTTTACATGCAAAATTTTGTTGCATAAAATGACACCAGTATAAAATTAAAGGATTATATTGTCGGTGCAATAAGAAATGCTTGTGTTGCCGTTATTCATTATTATAACTCGCTTTTGTGAGCCTTGGAACACAAATGAGAATTCTCGGATAATAACTTTGGTGTATTTACCTTTGTACATAATATATTTAGGTTAAGTACATATTATTGTAATTTCCAGTTTCTTTTTAATATTTATAAAAATAATTACTTATATATTGTTTTATACATACTTTATGGTTTTTACATGAATGTCTAAGTATTATTAATTCAAGTTTTATTTATTGACTTGCTTTGTTAATATATTGTGATAATGATAATTAAGCACTTATTTTAAATTTAATTAATTCACTTTATATTTTTCATCATCCATTTTTGCTTTTGTTAGTAATAGTTTATTACTATTGTTTATTAAGTTAGTTTTAAGCTTTTAATATAAATAATTTACAGGTTTTGTGAAAACTTCACGGGCATATTTTTGTATATTTATATTCATATATTTTAATATCTACATTTATTGGTTTATGTAAAAATTATAAAGTAAATGTATTTTATAATAAGATGTAAGACCTTTTCAATGAACCACACAATTATTTTTTTCTATTTTATAAATTAGACATTTTACATAAGATCATATCAATTTTATAAAAAAATAGTAATAATAAAAAAGTTTTGTTGCATGATTTTGTGTGAAATGTCTGAAATGTGTTTGTTGTTTTAGTTTTGTGGGGCAATGTAAAGGTGTTAGTTTATTTTTCTACCTGCTCATAGTATTTATTTTTGATTTGGTGTATCTTACAATTAATAAACTGCTTATTACTGGTTAGTCTAATAAAACCTCGACTTGTGAAAAATGCCAGTTCTGTTTTTGTTATAGAATTCTGATAATGTTAAAGTGCCTTTTGGGACACCATTTGTTGTTCAGAATGGTTAGTAAATAGGCTTTTGTATAACTGCTTTACAAATGTGCATTTTTGTTAAAACAGCATTTATATAAATAGAAGTGTTATCTTGTACTGTGTATAATTTTAGTTTTATTATTTATCTTCAGCGAATTATATAATGAATGATGACACTACATCAAATTTGTTTAATGTATACAAGAAAAAAATGCTATATAAGTTATTAAATATAAACTCACACAATCCTGTCTTTTATTTTTTTAAAACCTGGGTCTTTTGAATTTGCTGTGGGAATGTGAAAAAACCGCCCCCTTAATAACTATTGCTTTGGGCAAAATTTTCTGAAACCTCTAAAAAAATTTATTGTTATTAAAAACCATACATTTGCAAAATTTAGAATAAGCAATCTTAAATACAGGGTTTCCCATAATAGACTACCCATTTTATTTTATTAATAAATTCCCTACGAGATAACTAAATAAGTTGTTCTCTATGGGAATATCTTCTATAGTCTTTGGGATATTAATCAAGTAGGCGCCTGTCACAAATAAGTTTTAAATTAATAATTTCCTGGAACGTCATTTTTTCTACGAGAAGTTTGTTAGTTTTCATCAAACATTATTGATGTTATTTAATTTTTTTGCTTTGAGACATTATTTCAACATCCGTTTGAACTTTCATGGATTACTCAGTCCAACAACGTGTGTTTTGTGTAGAAACTTACATAAGAAGCAATTTGATAGAAGAATTTTAACTTAAGTTAGGCGTGCATTCCGGCGTCAGTTTAATAACAACAATAGGGGTCACGCGCCAAAACGTAAAACTGTTAAGTTATGGGTTCGTCATTGGCGTGAAAATGGTTCTGTACAAAATTTGAAAAAGCCTGGCTCGTACACCAGAAAATATTGAAGAATTGCGTTTACGACTTTACCACTTTTTATCTAATATTAAAAAATGTGTTGAAGTTGGTGGAGGTAATTTAGAAGACGTGATTTTTAAAAGTTCTAATTAAATTAGCCAAATATTTATAAGTTATCATAAATCCCAAAGAGTTAGCTGTAATTTAGTATAATAAAAAGTTTGTTTTGTTAACTAAAAAATTTTTAATTCAAATTTTAAAATGGGTAGCCTATTATGGGGAACCCTGTATTATAATATTTTTTATTGACACTAGTGTAGGGGTCCTCAAATGGCAGATCGCGGTCCGGATCCAGACCGCCAGCCAATTTTAAGCGCTGAAAACAATTATTTAATAACTTTAGATACATTCATCTTTTAATTATATTTTTCCACTTCCACCTTTAAAACGCCCTTTATTGTACATGTTTCCATGACACTAAGTGACCTTTTAAATACACATTGAGAAGTTGTGGCTTTATGGCGCTTTAGTCACGGGCTAAAGTTAGCAATAGGTTTTTAGTCACGGGCTGAAGTTAGTTGACAGTTGTCAAATGTCATACAATCGTTAGTATAAAGTGCCTTTCTTGTAAAATAATACTAAATGTGAAAATTATTTTATTATCTCAATACAAAAATACAAAAGTATTAAATAGTTTCTCAACGCCAATATTTGAAAAGTTTATATGAACATTGTACTGACCTTTAATTTCGCCGGCAGTAAACTATAACTTAAATTCGGGCAAGGACTCCACTGTAAAGTGCTCATAAAATATTTTCTTTACTTTCCCCAGAGAGCCATGCTTTGGGAAAGAAATTAGTCAACTTTTTCCCAACTAAGTTTGGACTACGATATTTTACATTTATTGGGGTTTATTTGGACACAGGGCCGGCCCGACGTTTTTTGCCGCCCCGGGCGAAGATATTTTTGCCGCCCCCTTGTTATTCGGCAGAAATAGTGGCAAAAGTAGTTTAACGTAATTATTTTTTAGTTTTTTATGCTTTAGAATCACCAATAGGTAAGGCAATATAATGGCTTACGTCGCAAAAAAGAAAAAAAACTATGATTTTAATATAGAAATTTAAATATTATTTAAATAACGAAATGTGCGATAAATTTGTAATAAATCCCATTTATTTCTTTAAAACACTGATTTTTCTGTAATATAAACTAAATAGAATCGCTTATTTGACAGGTTTTGACCAACAAATTATTAATGTTAATTTTATCGAACGCGAAAATATGTTTTAAAAAAGGTTAGTCACCCGCGGGGTTCAAAGCCACCTGTGTTTACGGTATGCAATATTATTAAATTATAGTATATTTATTATACCTTCACACGATGTTTTTTTTTTGCAAGAATTTGGAAAATGTTGCTGCTAGAACTCGATTTTCCGCCTCACGCGCCCTTTTTTGGTGTCTATAAAAAGCTCCTGAATCTTTTTTGCGTTTTTCAGACATTTTAAACTTCTAATTATAATTAGATAATTATCAAACTACCTTAGTAATTCACTGATTTTACAATGCACGATCGTGAAATATTTTTCAATTAATTGTCAATTGTCAAACACAGTAAAGAAAACTACAGGATATGATTGAAGAAACAAATAAAAGAGGGCCCCAGCGTCGTCTTCCGAGAGCGCCTCTATTAAATCATTTGTAACAAAGATATTTCTCGAGCTTAATACTGGAACAAATAGCCAATCGAAATTTTTGTATTATGTTCATTGAAATTTATTATCATTAACACATCGTAAAAATGCCGCCCCCCCCCCATTGTGCCGCTCCGGGCGGTTGCCCGGTTCGCCCGTACCTCGGGCCGGCCCTGTTTGGACATATTAATTGTATTTTCATAAAGTTTGACCAAAAATTGACATGTTTTATGCCAAATTATTTTCCAATGCGATAGCACAACAACTACACAAATATACAGTCCTAGATCGAGTTATTATTGGCCAACGTCGTTTGTAATGAAGTTTGGTCGAAAATTGGCAAAGCGTTTGTAATTCAGATTGATCGAAACTTGGCAAATTATTGATCAGCATGGAAAAAGAATCGCAATGGAGAGTTATATGTCGTTAATATTTCAAGACCTTCTCTACAAAAAGGCGTCAAAAAGTGCTTGTGTGATAGTTATTACAAAAAAATATAATCATCTGTGCACTAACTAAACGTGTTAAGTTTTAAACGGCTTTAAATTTTGAGTAAGTAATTAAGGTTAGGTATGTTTTCAAAGTTTTTAATAAAACATTCAATTATTATACAATTTCTTATTTCTCGAAGATTTTATTCCCTTATTAATTTTGAAGTAGGTAATATAAATTTACATTGCTAGTTCTATATTATGTACTTATTTTTTGTTAATTGTTACAGATTTTCATCTTGAAGTTGCAGTGAAGAAAAATAACTGCCTTTTTCTAGGTAAATAGTGTTTATGGGTACTAGGCTTTTACTACAAGCAGGACAATTTAAAAATAAATTTTCTACCTATATGTCACGAAGGAAAAAGAGGATTTATTGGGTTTTAAGATCTATCGTGCTAGAAGTGAGCAAGGTAATTGCAATTTTTTTATTGAATTTAAAAATTTATTTCTTTTTTATTTTTAAAGTTCTTCATAGCATAAAGTTACCAATCACAAACTATTTTACAATAAGTTCTTAATGTTTAATAAAGCATAATTCTTGATAGCCTGATCGTAATTCTATTTGTATCATAATATTATAACAAGTATAAAGGTGGATTTAGCCAGCATTTAAAGTAATGTAATGAAACGTAACATAGGTAATTTAATTTAAAAAATTGTGTAACACAATTTGTGTTGACCCGTCAAACAAGAAAAACTCAACCAAGAATATTCTTGTATATACATCTGCACTTAAAGAAATCTATAGATAGGTATAC